TACACTCATAACATTACTAGCAGGCCAAGGCCGTCATCAAATTCCAATTTCACTGTGGTTTGGTATCCCGGAGCATTTTGTAAATCTCCTGTGTTAATAATAATGTAAATAATTATTATTTGACCAGAGATTTTTTTTATTTAGGATTTTTCTTAAATGAGCGATAAACCACTAAGAGTCTTACAAATTACATTTTAAATTCTGAGTTGGTACATTTTTACCACAAGAGGTGAAACCTGTATTTTAAATGAGTCCAAACTGTATTTTTTGCTCAAAATGTGTTCATGTCCTACTGTTGTTTTGTGGGTCATAAAATGAAAAAAAAAAATCATAGCATCTGAATGTTTTCCGTGTTTCCACATTGTGACTTGTATCCTTTACCCCTTGCCTCTGTAACCCCTCAGCTGGGATTTTTGATCAGATGTTTTTACAAAAGCTCTGACATCTTAATAGTGCCACTCGATTTGTACAGTGGCAAACCATTTGGTCATTCACTGAGATATATATCCATCAGTGTCTAAATGGTTAATAAATGGTTTGCAGTTATTATCTTATTCCGTTACTTTAAAAGTCTTGAAAACAGCTAGAATTTCCCTACTTTTATGTTTCACAGTTTCTGCAGATATTCATTAAATGCTTGTTACCTTCAGTCCTTTTCTGTTTTAAATGCACTATTCTTTAAATATTTATTACAGTAAAATATTTAGATAGTATGTAGGGCTTGAATTTTATACCAAAAACAAGTGTTTGGGAAAAAGAAAACATAATGTAATGAAGAGGTCTTTAATACTGGGACTATTTATATAAATAACTTTATATGGACCTTTGCACTTTATTAAATAGAAGCAGGTTGGTTAGCACTATGACTTTTTATTTAGCACTGCAATTTAAGCATAGCTTTGCACATAAAGAATAATTTGCAAACGTTTACTTTAAATTTTTTATTGAATATTTATTGAGTATTTTAATAGTTGGTGTGTTGCCTTTTGTTCCAGGATCTGCAGAGCTGCTGTCCATTAATAATTGGGGTAGTTGTCCGTGTAAGAGAGAATTGTTGTTTAGGGCAAGCAAGGGTTACTGTTTAGAAACTTTACCTAATGCTAGTGTGTAATCTGTTGGAAGTGAGTGCAGAAAAGAAGTGTTGTGGTGCAAGGAAAGTGACTTATCTATATTTTCCATTCCATTCCTCTCCCAGAACATATGAATGGGGTCTGGACCCCAGGGGAAGCATTTGTCCAAACACCCTGGAGAGGACATGGTTCAGTCCTTCATCAGCTGTGTCTATTTAAGCCAGAGATTGCGTTTGATACGAGGCTTGATAATGTGAAACTGAATAAACCTGCTGATAGTTTTACTTCACTTTGTCTGATAGTATAATTTTCTCACTGGAAATCCATCCGAAAGGTCGCCTGGTATTGATCACCATTTGGTTTAGCTCTGTTTTTTCTCTACTTCCTCTTCACAACGAAATTAATGAGTATGTAAAATCTATTAAGATTATATGACTTTATGCTGTTATTTGGACCATTTTTAATTATATATAATTAGATCAAAGTGCCTTACCTCAATGGAAACTGCTAGTGGGATAAGGTTGTTTTGCACTACAAGGTACACCCACTAACTGCGGTTTTAAATTGCTCTTTTCTTATTTTTTTTTATTTACCCTTTATTTAACCAGGTAATACCCATTGAGATTAAAAA